CCCTCCCCCCCTCCCCCCCCGCCCCCCCCTCTCTCTCTCTCTCTCTCTCTCCCTTTTCTCTCTACCCCCGTCACCGTCTTTCATCTCCCCGTCTGACTCGTGATTCATTGAAGCGTCGAAACAACACAACCGCGCGTTTGTAAACGATGACGTGTGTGTCGTCGACGTAAACACCAAAGTGATCTCAATGACGAGGGTATCGATTCTTACAACGGAAACAGACCGGAAGTTTAGGGTTTCCTCTTTCTTTTTGTTTTTATTTTTTAATAACAATCGTGCGATTAAGTTTCTCTACGTGTAATTTTACACACGCGAGAACGGGATCAGCTTATTTACCGCGCGAATACTCGCGCGGGACGAGAGCAAAATAACGAATTCGATTTTTTGGTTATCGATCTTCGTGCACCGTCGTTAAATTCGGGTGATTACTATAACGCGTGATTACTATAATTCAGGTCAATTTTTCGATCACGAGATAAATAGCGTCATATTTTATGTCAGTACGCGTCAGAAGAAATATATCTAACTTTTTCCCTCATTTATCGCCGTTGATGAAAAAGTTGAACGTCAGATTGTGAATTAATCAATGAAACAATAATTTAAGAGAATGTCTCATAATGTTGTTTAACAAAAATTGGGGTGTATATGACGTCACATAAAATTCGTTTTTTTAGCTGAACTTCTTACATAATTCATCTTTTTCTTTTCATATTGGAGAAAGAAAAAGAAAAGATGATTGACATGTGCCAAAAATTCAGTTAAAAAGAACAGACCTATAGAAACTCAAATAACATTTTCCACCGGGAAAACTAATGCAACACTGGTACAATTGAATGCAAATGGACTCACATATTTTTGATATGTTAATATATAATTTAATCCTTTTCAAGTTATGAGATTATCGTGACAACAAAGAATAGTTAAAAGAGTTAAATTATTTATTAACAATGAAAATATGTAAATTGATTTGCATTCAATTGCATTCAGTATGCACCAGCGTTGTATTAGTTTTCCCAGTGGAAAATGTTAAAGATATTTGATGGTTTCCAAATAAAGATCAAAAAGAAAAAAATTTTTGAAATTATTGGAAGGAAAAGCATAAAATCTTGATGTATACACTGTTAGAAATTTCATGAATTTAATATGTTTTTCATGAAAATTTATGAAATTTAATATACAAATTCCTTACATTTAACTTACTGTAACTTAATTTTCAGTTAAATCATTCATTACTTTTAATTTCGTTCACAACCACGAGCTTCATTTACATGTAAAGAAAGTATTTCTAACAATGTACATAGTATTATATATATATAATTCATATTGAATTATTTAAACATTAAAGATTCAGCTTCGATCGTTTTAGGCATTTAATTTCTAGTATTCATTGTTTTCTAACACGTACGATTTAAACTAAAATTCTTATCGTTCATAAAATCTTATTCGGAAAACAGGGAAAAATTATAAAATGTTAAGATGAGGAATTTACGTGACAATCACGTGATCGAACACATACGAAGCCAACAACGTAACGAATCAATATTTGGAAAGTAATCTGATTTGATGTACCGGAAAGTAATGAAGGTCGAATTGTCACTCGACGAACGTGAGGAGATCAGCAGAGGGTTTCGCGTTAATCTCCGAGATTGACGGCGTCGTCTCTTCTCGCATCGAAACTCGGAGTAATAGCATCAAGTTAATCCTTCCTCATCGTTAAGCTCGTCCCACACATTTTATATTTACAATTAGTCTATGAATCGAATTAAATTACTCTTAAATATAATCATTAAGACTTTTAAAAAGGATACTTTTATTTTTAATTTGTAAAAAAAAAAAATCAAAGCTAGAAATTATGATAATAGTATCCTGATGAACGATTTTAAATTATTACATATTTAATTTCGAAAGAAGTAGAAAAAAATAAGGAAAATGCTTTTCATACATGCGAATTAAAAAAAGAAACGTTGCGTATGTGGTGCGCGTACTATAATTATATGGACACAGAGTACTGTTACAATTCTGGGTCGTGTAAACGGGGCTTCATACAGTTCATACCGCGAGATTCTTGTAGGAAGACAGCAGTGTTGGCTCTCTGGCGAACGGGTATGCAAAGGAGAAAGAGAAAATAAGAGAAGAAGAGGAGGAGAGAGAGAGTAGGTAGAAGTTGAAGAGCCGCCGCCGCCGCCGCTGCCTCCTACCTTTGGAGTCCGGGTATCCTCGCCGCCTCGGCTCGGCACTGAGCGAAAAGCACAGAGCGCAGAGCGACGACGAAGCGAGGAATACAGGCAGAGCAGGCTGCCTTGCCTGGCTGACTGGATAGTGGATGGTATGATGGTGGCTGCTGCTGCGAGTGCTGCGACGATGGTGCCGTGCCGACACTGCCGACAGTGACGGTGGTAGAGACGTAGAGTGGTGGTACGGCGCGCGGGTAGGTAGGGGAATTACGGGGAACGTGCTTTTAGGCGAGGACGAGCGTCCGTAGTCGTGTCCGAACCGCGGAACTGGCGGGTTTGTACCTGCATGGAGTAAGAGCCTAAGAGGCGCGGTGGTGGTGGTGGTACGAGGAGGTGGTTTACAGGTTCACTCCGTACCCTCGTGTCCGTGCGATTCGCTTCACAGTTCGTCTCCATGCGCGAGCGGCAAAAACGCACTATCCTTTCATCAGTTCCATCAGTTCCACCGGCAGTGCGACGTCGTGAAGTTCTCGAGTGTCGTGAAGAGAGGCTGTCGTCCGCTCGCAACTCTCGCAAGTATACATCTATTCCTCGGACTCATTCGGTGCCGCTTCGCGGCAATCGCGACAATCGCGGCAAGCACGTGCGTACAGTGTGCGTCTATGACGGCGGCGACGGCGATCTTATCTCGTTTGGAATTTTGATAATCCGTACATAAAGACCCAAGTGCGCATTTGTGATCCTCGTATGATTTATTATGGATCTCACCGCTGGATAATAAATCGACCGTAGGGTGCGGAGAGGATTGTTTCTGCGGGGAGTTGCGCCTAACCGGAAGTTGTGAGGGACGTCGCACGGATACCTCGTATAGTCATATGCATCCAGGGCGGCGTGTCGGTAGTTACGGAGGAGGAACAAAGTGTGCCGCCGATTCAAGAGCGGAGAGTTAAAAGTGTAGAGGGATCACGACGATCGCGCCTGCACACACGCACGTCACGCACGCACGCACGCACGCACGAACGTACCCATGCACGCATGAAGGTCCCATGGCTACCGGATTGGTAAAGTGGTGGCGAGCAAGGTTCCTCGCTGGCTACAGACCCTTTTCTGGTAATGAACGCTCCTTCTTTTCGGGATGCATGCTACGATATTGAGACTCTCGGGTTATATCCCAATTGACCGTGAAAAAAGGAAAAAATGCACAATGCTGATTCAAGTCCTTGTCAATATCTCTGCTAATTTCTCAGACGAATCTTTGATTTTAATGAACTGATAGTAAAAATGTAAATAATGCGAGATCGCATACACGTTTCGTTAGGTTTATTTCAGAGTTGGCAAAATTCCACGTTTTTTGGGTAACATCCATGCCAGTGAACCGTAAAATCCTGTATTTTCTGGAAAAATCGACATTTTCCGGAAAAGCCGGAAAAACTGGTTTAAAAAAAAAGTAAAATTATCTTTTTATATAAATATGCTGTAGTATTATAAATTAATCATTTTTATAATTTTTGTTAATTTATTTTATTGGATAAAATCAAGCACAGTAAAATGTGGAATTTACTATATTTTTTCAAATGAAATTTTCCAGATCTGCGTTTTACATTTAGTGACACAAATCAACATGAATATCGTTCTATCTTTCCTGGTATTTTACGTTCAAAGAAAAAAGACAGAACGACTCTTGAATCGAATTGTGTCACTAAATGGAAAGCATCCGTGACTTATTTAGAGATACCTAAAAATTCTAGTCATTCTTCTCATATTTCCTCTCGTAGGTGAAATAATATTGAGTCAAATATATTGTTGTTATTTAACTAGATTTAATCTTTTTCTGATAATAATGTACAACACAGTTCATTGATTGCTTAATGAATTCGTTCGTAAACCTCATATATTTTCAAATTGTACAATTAATTACAATAAATGCAAAAGATATTCGTACAAAGAAGGCATTTTAAAAAAATTTTATTTTTAGGAAATATAAACGTTAATTAGAAATTTATTAATAACGAATGAAATATATATTTTTTAAAATTATTTTATCTAAAAATATGTGTAATAATGTGTACAAAAGATGTGTAAAAATATATTATCTTAATAATAACCAAGAATAAAAAATTACATTATTTGGACATACAAGAAATACAGTCGAGAAATGTAGCGTCTAAAATTACGAACACAATTATTTTTGCAAAAATTCTTTTAGACAGGATGTTATTAAGACAGGATGTTCTCATTGTTGATAAATTGTTAATTAATATTTATTTTTTTTACAAATAAGCTTTTTTAAATAAAAATCTTCTGTACCACCATTTTTTGCATTCACTGTGTATTTGTTGGGTGTAATTATAACATAATGTATCGCGAAATATTTTTAAAGTATTAATGCGAATTAATGAAAAGAACAGTTATCATACTGACGTTATGTAAAACTCAATTCGCTTTAAAAGAATTTTGCAGATATCGGATTTGCAGAAGATATAATTCTTACATTAACATTTAACTTATATATTACATTAAAATGCCGGTTTTTTCAATTTATTTCGTCTGTCAACATGATAAGTTTTTTGTAAGTTTTATTTGAAGAATGCCGCGATTAAAATATACACCAGTTGAGATAATCCGAAGAAAACTGTCGTTTATCAGTAAACTACTCTTAGATCATTTTCTTATCAAGTATATTTCCTAGAAAGCAGGTTTTAGAAACTTGTCGAGAAACGTAAAAAGAAAAACTTCGAGGTATAATTGGTTGATTTGTAAACGAGATTTTCTTTTTAAATAATAATTGAAATCTCTTGAATAATAATGACAAAATATCTCCTGTTTCCATTTGCATTCTATTGTGTATTCCTTGATAAAGTTTAAGTACCTAAGTTTTGTACTCAGGTAAAAGACGACAGTGCGATATACCTGAGAAAACCCAGGGAAGTAGTTAGAGTGACGCAGGTTGCGGGAGGGAAGGGGAAAGGTTCGACGGAAAAAACAATACGGAAAAAAAAGAATGTGACGAGCGTTGGCGTCTGTACGATCAATCGTGCCGCCGCAAAAGAATGACCGTCGTGGATAATGCTAAGATATTATCGAAGCGGATACCACGTGGTCTTACATCACACTTACACTTTTCTTAGCTTTCGGCTTGTGTCTATAGTCTGTACGCTTGTCTCGTAACGCGTCGTTGAAAATAGCGCAGAAATTGCGGTGCGTGCGTTTAGTGACAACAAAATTACTCAAGAGAAGCTTCTTACTTACAGTTCTTCAATTTCCCGTCACGAATCCGACGAATCTGACGAATCTCAAATCTGCAAACAATAATATTGTTTAGATTATACGTATTAATTAATTAATTAATAAGTAAAAATGGGAGCAAGGATATTTTCATGAAAAGTACATTTTAATTATTAAAAAGAAAGCTCATTTAAAAATTAATTAAATAGTAATACCGAAATTTTCGTTTTCTCGTTTTTAAAATGTAACAAAAATATAAAGATAAATATTTTCCAAACTTTTTTCAGTTTAAATTTATATTTTTTAATAAATAAATAAATAATAATTATACTTCTGTTATGTTTAACTTTATGAAATTTACGACAATACTTAATAATGCGATAACATGAC